AAACAGGTGGTGGGGTTGGTGGGGAGGGGCTTACTTACATCCAGGATGGGAGCAGCGCAGTAGGCACAGCGTGGAGAAAACAGCTCGTGGTAGTCCTTGCGGCAGTAAGCCGAGCCACTCCGCTCAAAGAAGGGACTGAAGCCGATCTCTTCTTTGCAGTGGGTGCAGACGAAGTGCTCTGGGTGCCACGCTTGCCCCAGAGCATGGATCACCTGAGAGATGAAATACACTAGGCACAGGAGTCCGGTGGGCTGCTCTACGGGCTACAGGTTGCACAGCTCCAGAGGGCGCTATTCACACCGTATTCCACCTAAATGACACTCCCTGGAATGACACTGAGGTCTACACCTGGGTATTACCTAAGACAGTATGTCGTCCACACTTTATGGACGGCAAAAGGGTGCCCACTTCTCCGACTGATTGTATGATAAAAAGCCTACGAATGTTCCTTGCCAGTCCATTTCTCCAGAGGGTGGTAGACACAGGACAGAGCATGGTGGCGACAGACAAGGTGATAACTGGAGCCCTGGCATTGAAGGAACCCTTGAAAGAGGAAAAGGCCAAATGGCAGTTTTGATTCTTCTGGTCTGAACACCTCATCTCAAGCAGACCCTTCATTGTGGTGAAGGATGATGCAGGGCAAAATTCTGTGGTTATGTTTGGAACTGAGTTCATCTAGAAATTGTAATCAATCAGTTTAAACAAGGAATGTCTCACCAGATGGAACAATAAGAAAGTGCTTCTCGATAAAGGCAGCACAGAAAAATGTTTAAGAGCTCAGACTCGGCAGTCAGACTCTCGTGGGTTCAAATCTCCCCTCTACCTCTTACTAGACCTTTAGGCGAGTCAGTTAATGTCTCTGAGCCCTGTTTCCTTCTCTTTTCAAAGGGAACAATAATAGAGTCTCCCTTGAAGTGCTGAAGTGACCACTGAATGAGGGAATGCTTGTAAAGTAGTTTATGCATAGAGCACTACCAGTGACCAGTTGTGGTAGTTCAGTTT